CGTATCAAATATCCCTCCTTGAAAAGTTTTTAATCATAAGGCAAACAAATGTCCGGCTTCGAAAGCGTTTGCAGTGTGGATGAGTGGAAGGCGTCTGTTTGCCTGGTAGGCAGATGAGCCTCAGCTCACTTTATGAGAGGGATGTCTACATGTTGTCCCTGTTTTTCATATGGCCATGGCCGTCCAAGTTTGACTTCAATGTTGAACTTTTAACTATTCTCCTTTTTATTTTTTTGTTCCCTCCCAAACACAAAATGTGTAAGATATTTCTTGTTGCAATGAAAGCCTTTCAGTACAAACCAACCCTCTTTACTACAGGACAAAAAGATGAAAGGAAAAAAAAAATCAAAGAAGTACATGTAAATATTGTAGAGGTGTTTGTTTCTCGTAGAAACACACTGATTCCAAGCTGTAAATATGTTGTTCCTTTTCCTCTCTCCATGAGGAGGAAACATGTACATACCTTCCATTCATTTATTTTTTATTGTTTTTCCTTTTAATTTGATGATTATTTTAATATTATTTGCAATATTTCTCTTGTATTAATGCGTTGGACCCTTTATTAATGGTGCATTAAAATATTTTTTAAATAAATGAAAATCTCATGTTGTGTTTCACTGAGCTGCAGATGACTGTGTGGGCTTCCTTTACAGCCTCTCTGAAAGATCGCGAGTGCTAATTCAAAGCCTTTATGCGCCGTGTACAAGCTACATATAAATAGCAATTAGTCTCGACAGGAAACCGTTGCGGAAATCAGCACATCTGCAACATTTCCCGTCGACATAGGTGAGAGGAAGTTTGAAATCTGACCTAAAAGATTTTGTAAGTCACCAGATGACGACAAAGGGAAGTGGAAAGGTAGAAAAGCTCACAGAGCAGATGGTGACCCGAGTTTGAAAAATCCACATCTGGACGACAAACATCTGTCGAGCTTTTGCTCTGCTTCTAACATCATGCAAGATGACATTTGTCATCAGAGCTGAACGGGGAAGTAGCTCTTGCGTGTGAGGAAACACAAAGTCGGATTTGTTTTGAGTCATGAGACGGCAGGATATTGCTTCTCTGTGTGCAGTCACGTTATTAACCGCCGCCTCTTGACCAGGTTGTTGCCTTATTGTTTCAGAAGTGACGGCAATTCTTTGCAGATAGTTTCGTCAAGAGCTAACTACATGAAACACTGACCTTTTATGGTACGATATGGTCCAAATGAGCATTTGTTTGGATGTAGTGCAGGACTGTGGAGGCAGCATCTAAACAAGTTTTGAAGCTTTTAGTGATTCAGAGTGTTGATAAACTGCAACATGTTACAAGAAACAGCTTCTGTTGGGCCTGAAGACTGCAAGTTAGAAAACCAAACAAATGTGGGGGTATGAAGTTAGAAATGAGCTGACCGGACTTCTGTAGCCCCACTCCTCATATCTTGAGACTGCATTTGCAGGCAGTCATGTTTTGCTGCGGGAAGAATAGGGCAATTTAAAAAAAAAAAAAAGAAGATTATGTCTCTGCTTTAATTTTAATTGTAGCCATGCCAGAACTTTAATCCCATGACTTTTCGCCTGATGCCTTAATCGGGTCAAAATATCTGCTGATCTTGACAACACTTAACAAATGACACTCTCAGAGGCTGCAGTTATTTTTTGTGCTGACTGCCAAAGTGCAAAAAATAGGATGTTTAGCCCTATTCAGGACTTTCATGTTGCCATACGTAGAAGGTCTTTATGTGCAAAGTATTTGTTGGTATTCATTATAGACTTTTATACTATGTTAAATACATTTTCTGATAAGTTGATGTGTTTTTGGTTACAAATGCATGACAAATGTCCCTCTTTTTATATTTAAAAAAAACATCTTCAAAATTAAAAAAGCAATACGTGTCACCTAAACCAAATGGCCTGGGGTCCAAAAGACCCCAAAAGTCCTGAATAGGATTAAAGTCCCTCTCTGGTCATTGATGAAATCATTAAAAACCCATCAACCAGTTCTTCTACGGCTCTGCTCAATCAATGTAAAACTACTCCAAGGAGAATAATAATACATAAAACCCCACCCTCCAAGTTCACAGGATTGGTTAATTAGATTTGATACTTATGAAACCCCAGAAGTCTGAATCCATGTTTTTGAGACCTTTATCAATCCACTGCAGTTTCCAGAAATCCTGATCACTGGCATTGATTGCATATTTCACTCATGATGTGTGTCCCAGCACATAAAGAAACCCCATGTGGACATGTAAACAAGGTGGGGAAAAAAAATTGGAATTTTCAGAGTAGGGATGTTCAATATTGCATCTGCTATGCTGCAGTGCAATGTGACAATGCCACAGATGTAAAAGCATGAAAATTCTCCGATGTGTGCTAACTGTCACATTTACACATCGTGCAGTCCTGCTTCCCTTTCAGATGACACCATAAAAGCAACCACTGAACTTTGACCAGTTTTCCTGCTGCCTCTGAATGACCCACTTTTTAAAGGCCTCTTTGGAAAATTTGCAAAGTTTAGTGAGTGCAAGTAACCCATTAAACTGTGTTTTAACCGATCAGCAAATACATTCATCCTTCTGAAATATGAGTCAAATGAGGAAATTATTTTGAATGTACATATTTAAAAATCCCTGCCTTCGACCTAAGTCGGCTGGGATAGGCTCCAGCCCCCCCACGACCCTGGTGAGGATTAAGTGGTGTATAGATAATGGATGGATATTTAAAGATTAGTTGATAATAATTGACAGCTCCATGGGCTGAAAAGAAAATATGCTGGCTTTACATTTCTGACCATCTTACACTCTTCAACATATTAATTAAAGGTTTCCATAAAGTAATGACTTGTTACTCCAACATGAATCTTGATTCTGTGAAGCAATACCTTGTGACCACATTATAATAATTAGTTCATAATAAACATGTTCTTGTCTTTTGAGAAACTTGAGCTAATCTGGGAGTTTGGTCAGTTGAAGTGGTATCAGCTGTGCACAGTCGCTATTCTTAGATTCTAAATGTGTCACCGCTGCTCACTCAGAGCAGCATTTAGTACCAAAATAGCTCCCATTTCCAACACAGAGTTCACATCAGCTATAAAACATTTGGGTTGCCAGGTCATGAAAATTTCAACTATTTGTCCACTTACAGTGCCAGTAAAAAAAATCACCCTCTTTGGATGCTTTTCCCTTTTATTGCGTTTCAGCATTCATTTGTGGCCAGTATAATTGGACTTTCTGGACAAGAATTCCCCCCAAAAAAGATACTTTCATGTCAAAGTAAAAACATCCATCCATTATCTATACACCGCTTAATCCTCACTAGGGTCGCGGGGGAGGCTGGAGCCTATCCCTGCCGACTTAGGGCGAAGGCAGGAGACACCCTGAACAGGTCACCAGTCTATCACAGGGATACTTTATTTAAGGCGTTCAGTTTTAATAATGCCGGTAAAATCTGTAAAATAACAAAGTTTCACTGCAAAACCATTTGATGTATTGGTTTATTGAATATTTTTATTGTAATAGTTCAGGAAAAAAAATGTCAAAAAAGTGTTTTACTGCAGAAAGAATATTGAAATGTGAATTTATTGTTTTAAACGTCATTTGAATTAGGATTAGGATTGGAATTTATTTTTACAGTTTTTGTTTGTCAGGCATTGACCATCTTTACAATGTAGGCCTACATACACAGTCGTATGAAAAAGTTTGGGCACCCCTGATCATTTTCAGGATTTTCCTTTATAAATCATTGGTTGTTCGGATCAGCAATTTCAGTTAAATATATCATATAGCAGACAAACACAGTGATATTTGAGAAGTGAAATGAAGTTTATAGGATTTACAGAAAGTTCCGAGCATGGACAGCCCGCTTTAAATCACACCACAGATTTTCAATAATATTCAGGTCTGGGGACTGAGATGGCCATTCCACAACGGTGTACTTGTTCCTCTGCATGAATGCCTTAGTCGAATTTGGGCAGTGTTCAGGTTCGTTGTCTTGTTGAAGTATCCATACCTGGCACAACTTCAACTTTGTTACTGATTCTTGAACATTGTTTGCAAGAATCTGCTGATACTGACTGGAATCCATGCGACCTTCAGCTTTAACAAGATTGCTTGCTACCCACAGCAAAATTTAGTGGTGGCTCCATCATGTTGTGGGGCTGTGTGACCAGTGCAGATACTGGCAATCTTGTTAAAGCTGAAGGTCGCATGGATTCCAGTCAGTATCAGCAGATTGTTGCAAACAATGTTCAAGAATCAGTAACAAAGTTGAAGTTGTGCCAGGGTTGGATACTTCAACAAGACAACGACCCTGAACACTGCTCAAATTCTACTAAGGCATTCATGCAGAGAAACAAGTGTACCGTTGTGGAATGGCCATCTCCGTCCCCAGACGTGAATATTATTGAAAATCTGTGGTGTGATTTAAAGCGGGCTGTCCATGCTCGGAAACCATCAAACCTGACTGAACTGGAGATGTTTTTGTAAAGACGAATGGTCAAAAATACCTTCAACCAGAATCCAGACCCTCATTGGAAGCTATAGGAAGCGTTTAGAGGCTGTTATTTCTGCAAAAGGAGGATCTACTAAATATTGATGTAATTTTTCTGTTGAGGTGCCCAAATTTATGCACCTGCCTACTTTTGTTGAAGTAATTATTGCACACTTTCTGTAAATCCTATAAACTTCATTTCACTTCTCAAATATCACTGTGTTTGTCTGCTATATGATGTATTTAACTGAAATTGCTGATCCGAACAACCAATGATTTATAAAGGAAAATCTTGAAAATGATCAGGGGTGCCCAAACTTTTTCATACCACTGTATATATAGAAATGTAGTGAAGCAGAAATAGACGTGAAAAGTCAACATAATTCAAATCTGCATATTTGCTTCCATACATACTTCTATAGCCCTTTATGCTGCAGCAGAAGTGGGAAAAAAAAAAAAAAAGCAGCCCAACCTTTGCCACGCCCCCTCTCTCTGCTACATTAGTGCTGTGAGCGCTGCATCCTGCAGTGGAGGCGCTCGACAGGGAAGCAGCAGCAGGCAGCAATCATGTCTGAACACCGGCAGGGTCTCGTCTATTTGATCACTGGAGGCTGCGGATTTCTCGGCAAACACCTTCTGAGGGTTCTGCTGGAGAAGGAGGACAAACTGGAGGAGGTGCGAGTGTTTGACAAACACATCGACTCCGATTTAAAGGGACTCGGCACAGGTAAAAACGAACAGGCGCTGATCCGTGCTTTCTCTGCCGAACTGCATTTTAAAATCTGCTAATTTAAGCTTTTAATCTTATACCGGCATGTGCACGTACATTGTTTAAAGAACTGAACCCAGCTGTTTCTCATTTCATGACCACTACTTCAATTCGGCGATACATGGTTTACTATAGAGCTCTTGCTTTAATCTGTATTACGCCTTTATACACGGGTTTCAACATTTATAGTGTCTCTGCTTGAATAGGACTGTGGAATTTAAATTTGCATAATCTGTCATCTGTTTTGAAAAACACTGAAAGATTCCTGGTTGTCAAGAGGCTTGATGTGACACTTCATTAGGTGTGCTTTGTGTTGCCACATTCGTCTCCCTGTACTGTGATTCTGATGACTGAGTATACCCCATCCCCTAATTAGAAGTGGTTAATTGATCAAGGCAGCTACCTAAAGCACCAGCAGTGTGAGCCAGTGATGAGATCTTGAAATACAGCCAGATTCTGTGTCACAGGAACCCCACTACCAACACAGTAATATCTCATATGCAGTGCAGGCACCGGGTCAGCCTGCAGTTATGGCAGCAAGGTTCCAAAATTTCCTGTGGCAGGATAAAGATGTTCTAACTTGTCACCGCCTTGCCCTCATTGTCACAGCTTTCAGTTAAGTGGAAAGGCGTGTTGTGTTTTCCATAGAACCAGCAGACCTGCTTCACATGCCATCTGTTTCTGAAACACACACTAATTAACTAAGGCAACAGCTAAGCAGTGTTTTTCTTCCTGTTTAGGAGACATATATAAAATATGGTTGCCTTAAGTACAGTTAATTAGACTGTGCGACAAAAAGCTCTTAGCCTCATTAGTGTGAGGAATTCACGACCACAAATGACGCCTGTATGCCACAGTGGAAAGTGCTTTGATGAGCTTGTGTTGTTTACTGTGTGAAGGGACCGAGGCTGGCTGTGACTGTGAGGCCTCTGACTCTGCAGGAACATGAGATGTTGATTCGGGCGTGTTAAGTTTCCATGAAATATTGAATAAGTAAAAATATCTCCAATCTGTATCGAGCACAATTGTAAGCAAGGATCTCTAACCTGATGTTCAAAAGTCCAGCACCGTACTTATCAACATTTCAAGGACAGTGCATGAAGGCAAAGATAAACAATGAGTTCAAGACCTTCAATGAATGATGATAACAACGTTGTTGCCCAACTGAAAAGGCACAGTGCGTCTTGTGCCGGTGAAATGCGTTTTCCACCAACTGAGCTGTCTCATGTTGTTTCATAGCAGTGTTTCGGGAGCAGAACTACCCTCTGCATTAATGTGGTGAAGTGCCTTAACTTGTCAGGTTTATAACCCTCTCAACCTGCAAGCAGTTTCTATGCTTTAAAAAAAACATCTCCTGTCACATTTAACAAGTCCTGCCCCTCTATGGAAACAGCACAACCATGGCTAGAGGCAGGGAGAACTCAAATATGTCTCCTCTGCACGATAAGAAAGCTATAATGCCATCAGACTTTAAAAACAAAGATTTGAATATTTATCTTACAAAAATTTAAATTACCCGCAGTCAACATGTGCAACATTTTCCCAAGCACCCACAGGTGATACCAATACTGGAAAGCAAACATGGCAAATCTACATATTTTATAGTTTAAATTTGTTTCCAAACTCGTCTCCTGCTCAGTGTCAGCCTGCACGGCCTGCAGTTCAACCAAAAAGCCCATGAATTTAGTCACATGACTGTTGGTCACAGCTAAGGAACTAATGGCTTCAAAGTTGTACCAAGTCTGCAGAATCTTTTGTTTTATACAGATATCTGGTTAGGTCAAACTGTTTAGTTTTGGTGAAATTTGAAACGTTTTTTCAGCTTCGATTTGGTTAGGTTTCCCAAATGAATGACAAGTCACACATGATTAGTTTGGGGACTGACGAGCAAATACAGATGTGTTGATTCTTTATGTTTTTGCAGTTTCTTGCTCTGATAAATGGTCTAATTTTGGCAGATTTGTAAATACAACATGCCTTTCAAACCCAACAGCAGGTCCTTGTGTTTTCTTTTGAAACTGTTTCTTAACTGAATTTTCCAAAGAAAGTGCATTTTTAGAGATTAAAGATGACCCAGATAATCTGCCTCTTATGAAGAAGGTTATATCTTCAAACCGGACAGCCGTTTCTCAAGAAAACCACTTTTGTTACGAGTGCAAAAGGATGTTTTGTAATGTTGCGGTAAACAAAGCAACCAGCTCCTCCCTGCTTTATTTACTGTGTGTTTGTGTGTGCTGTTGGAATTCTTAGGACAACATTGTTGATGCTGGATCGCACGAGTGGTTTTGACTGTGTGCTTTCCTGTTTGTGACGCAGAGAGGACAAAGGTGGTGGCCATTCAGGGAGACATCACAGACTACAGCAGTGTGTTGGAGGCCTCTCGGGGGGTCGACGTCGTCATCCACACAGCCAGCCTGGTGGACGTCTGGCACAGAGTCCCAGAGAAACTCATCTTCTCTGTCAACGTCACAGGTAAGTCCTAAAGGGAGCGGTGATCCCAGTGACAACACCGGAAAGGGATGGAGAGGAAACATGAATGGGTGGTGAAGTTTTCTGGCTGTTTTTCCATTAGACAGTCACGCCTGTGGCTGCTCTGCAGGGTCTCCAAAGGCATTACTTCACTCATGAGCTCTGAAAAGTTAGAAGACCCATTCATATTCATGTACTGGAAACTGAGACAGGCTATTACTGGCTTGAAGTGGGTCAACAACTAGTTTTACTCATGTCCATAAATGTCTTTTTTTTTTTATTATTATACAATGACTGGTTCACTAAAAGGTCTGTTGTGTCACATCATCCCTTTTTGAAACTTAAGCTGCCTAATGCTATTAGTGTGGATTTCAGTGTCACCTAATGCTGTAAATGCTATTGGAGAGGCATTTCTCCACCCAAACAAGAACCCAGCTCCCAGCAGAACACAACATGATCTCAGTGTGGTGTTATAAAGTTCAAATCCAAAGAAATTCAATTTAAGAGTTTCTTCAGTTTGGATGTGAGCCAGGACTTTCCTCATGGACCCACAAAGTTTCCTCTCTTTCGGGAACCTGGCAGTAATAGTGCCACCATTCACCGCAACTGTAGCTATGACTAAACACAGGCTCCAGAGGGTTATTTTTATAGATGCCCAAGTGATATAAGGAGAATGTGTGTCAGTGCGGTTGTCTAGTTTTTAGTCGTGTTCGCTGGCGACTCAATGATGCCCTTGTCCCAGCCAAGTAAAAATCCTGTCCAAGCTGCTCAGATTTAATAAAGTAATGATCCACGACATCAGTCAGAGCCTTTAACATTCATATCATCTTACAGTCCAATAACACAGCCTTGAAATGAGCAAAGTATCTGGTTCACAAAGGTAATGTTTGTGTTTTATCTGAAGTATCTGGTTCACAAAGGTAATGTTTGTGTTTNAAGTATCTGGTTCACAAAGGTAATGTTTGTGTTTTATCTGAAGTATCTGGTTCACAAAGGTAATGTTTGTGTTTGATCTCACTGTGTGACAAAGGGTGTTCTGTATAGTTTAGATAACCTCGTCATTATGCGGTTTAGAGTCTCACGTTACCACCTCATTGTTGACAGCTTAACAGCCAACAAGGGGTCCTGATTTATTAACTCCATCTACGGTTAAATCTCAAAAATGTAACCCCTTTGTGTCCAAGTTACATATTTACAAGTGGCTTAGAAGTAGCTCAGCACTCCTGCAGCTTCTAGAATGGGCAGATCTGTGTAGTTCCTGCAACTCTCTTGAGCTCAAGCACACCAGCTCACCTACACTGTAAAACTGCTCTGCACAAAGTATTGGCAAGATGTGATATTGGAGCAATTCAGCCATACATCTTTAAATGTGGAAATCCTCAGCAATGGTTCTGACTGCGTATTCTGCACACAATACATTCTCCAGCATATAAAAAAAATCACCACATGAACATACTGACAAGGTTAAAAAACTTGATTTTCACCCGAGGAGGGCCTTTAAAGGGTGAAGCTGGTGATGTCATCGACACACATCAGCCAGAACATTGGGACAACCTGTGTAACACTGCGTACATTCTCCATGTGCCAACAAAACATGTTCTGACCCACTAGGGCGTGAACACGTGACCTCTGGTGGTGTCCTGCTGTGTCTGGCACCAGATTGTTGGCAAAGTCGGTGTTTGGAGGCTGAGTTGAAGCCCTGGCCACAGTTCCTGAGCAGTTTTTGCAGCGTGGCACTGTCCTGCTGCCATGTGGAGATGTGCATAGTCTGGAACAATGTTTGGATTGGTGGTGCATGTCATAATAACAGCCACATGAAAGCCAGACTCAGAGTTTCCCAGCAGATCATTACATTGTGATGAGATGATTCATTTTATGCACACAACCTGTCAGCAGTTTTATTATTGGGATTCATCATTGGATGTTTTTTTCAACAAATCCAAAAACAACATTTCAAAAAACAAATTCAGAAACTAACAACATTCTTGTCCTTCCCCAATACCAGATCACAAAAATAAAGTTACATTTTAAAAAAACAACATCTAAACCATGTAGTTTTTAGCAAATCGGGAGGAAATGCTGCCTTTTTTGGAGACGATTAATATCCATACGGTCCTCGCAGCAGATTGGTGCATAGGGAATGAACTCAGAATGAACTACAGCCCCATGTTCAGTGTAATGAAGGCGCATATATTGAATAGCGTCTAGACAACAATGGAGCTCTATGGCTCAGAGGAATAAGCTGTATCCAGCTTCGGATACACAGACAATCCATATTGTTGAGTTTTTTACTGTTGCGTGTTTAGTTGCACGTAAGAGAAACAGAAAATATTACCTTTGTTATCTTTGACAACATGTGTCCAGGAAATACCGCTGCTTATTTGTCTCAATTCCTAACATGCTTCTGGCCATGAGGCTTAACTGACTAAGGAAGCACTTTTGTTGACAGCAGTATGCCAGATGTCTTTTACAAAACCAAAAATACATGTCTTTAATTGATGTGGCTGTGGACTAATCCCGATCCAGGCTGAGGACAGTGTTCACATTAATAGAAAAATGCATGTAAAGACTTTTAGTTTCTGTAGGCTCATGGTTTCTGGTTGAACTGTTTGGCTGGAAATAGTCTGCAGTGATTCAGCAAATAGACAAAAGGCACCTTTGTCATCTGTAAGCCGAGCTGACTGGGGGCTTTGCAAACAATGTTTCCAAAAACCGAATACAACAGACCTCGTGCAGTTGATTGAATTGAGTGAATAGTTGACTCACATCTGTCTGGAGGTTCTAATGTTTCGACTTGCCAGAGGCTGGTTTTATTCACTTTTCTATGCACCAAAAGCAATCAAATTCCTGCATGGTTAGTTTTTCCACCTGTGTAGAGCTCTGTTATAGCAACCAGGGCAATGATTAGGTTTCACCCAGTGAAGACGGTTCAGTTTGGCTTCCTCCAGTTGAGAAATATTACAAGAATTTGGTGTTTTTTCCCCTGTATTGGTCTCAGAGGGTTTCCATGCTTGCATCATATCATTTTTCAGATAGCTGTTAACTCCCTAATCTTTATCTCAGAGACAAAATCTTGCTCTTCTGCGTACGAGTCCAAGGTGTGAGGCTGTTTACTGAGTGAAAGAGTTGAGAACATTAGACACTGGTTACAGATGAAAATTCATGGCTCTGTGTAGATGATGTAGCCAGAAGAGCATAGCTGGAACAAATTTCATTAATGTCCCATCCTGAGTCCAAGTAAGTCATGACAATCAGGATAAAACCAGGACATTGGACCTGGCTCACCTAAGTAGACTCCAGTTATTTTAAAGTTTTTCTATTATATCTGTACTTTTCCAGATTTGATGAGCCACAATGTCCTCTGTGAAAAAGGTCTGACAAGTACACCTGCTGTTAAATAGATTGGCTTTATCATTTTCCTTTTAACAAACCGATTAGCTTAGCTTGTCCTAATTCGAATACAACAGCAATTTTGGTAATTTCAGTCCATCACCTTTTTCCAGAACATGTGTGTCCAAGTCAAGATCGGCAGCAGTCGGGCTGTATAACAAATCAGTATTTCCATTGACAATTCATTTGTTGATTATTTTCTCATTTAACTGATTAGCTGTTTGGGGTATAAAATGTCGATCAGTGTTTTCCAAAGCCCAAGACAGTGTGCTCAAATGTCCTGCTTTATCCTGAAGCTAAAATACTTCCAATTTTCTGTGATAGAGAAGAAAAGAAACCAGAAAATTGTTTACTGTAGAAAATGAGTCAAATGGATTAAGTGATTATTAAAAAAAGCTGGTGATTAATTTATTAGTTGACAACTAATTGGGTGGAGCACTTTGGTGATCCGTTCACGTTTTACTGAAAGCAATCATCGTGCCAACATCAGTTTGGTTTGTGACTAAATACCTGCAAAGACAATTCCCAACAATCCTTGCTGTACAGGGTGATTAGTGGTAATTACAGAAGATGGTAATTATAGTTTCTCAGCAGTTACTCTGCACCATGTTCAGACAGTAAAACAGCATTTATATTGTTTATTCAGTTTTAACTCAAACTTTCTGTAAACTTGTAGCTCTTTGTTTCTGCCGGTTGAAGCCCTCAAACTGAGTTGACATCCCTGCAGCTGCATGATAAGCAAGTAAAAGGGAGAACCGTGAATTATCATTCCTGAAACGGATTCCAGCAGATTCTCATCAGGACTTTTCATCCTCTGCCAAACTGGACCAAATGTCACTGTACAGTGAACTGTGTCCTTTGTGACTTCAAGCTGAACTCCAGGCTACTTAAACTCAACAGTAACCTTAGTATTGGAAACTGGAAACACTTGGAAAAAGTGTTGAATGCAGTAATGAGAGATCTTTTTTCCTCCACTACGCAGTGACCGTATTTCTTTCCACTGCTTGTCCACTGATGATAATAAAGATCAGGGTTTTATGGCGCAGAGAGGAAAAATAGTTTCCTATCAGCTAAGCAGAACACATGTGGAACTGATTGCCTCTTTTAATACATTTCATGTTTATTCTCTCCTTATGCATTCAATTATGATTTCAAAACTTGCATCCTTTTACACATGCTACGGTGTGTTTACTTCACTTTAAAGGATCGTGTTAGTTTTGCCTCAGTAAAACCTTCAGACACAAGGAAGGAATCTAGCTATGTCAAAGCCAGCCATGTGGCTTCAGAGGAAAAACTTGGGTGTTTCCTTATAAAATCCATTCTGCTCCGTCTAAACTACCAACTATAAATAATGATGTTTTCTCTCCTGTCAGGGACGAAGAATATCATCAATGCCTGTGTGGATTGCGGCATCGAATGCCTGGTTTATACCAGCAGCATGGAAGTGATTGGTCCCAACATGAATGGAGACCCCTTTAAGAGGTAAAACTCAAGATGTCATTCTTTACTGGTTTATTATGGTATACTGGTTTTTATGTCAACTCAGTGACCCTGTGTCCAATTGTTGTCCTTGCCAAGCCCACGTGGTTGTAATTTAGACTCCCATTTTGAGGAATGCTTTGCCTCCTTTACTTTCTTTTCTGTTGTTGCTGTCTTGTGTCTTTTCTCTCTTCTTGTCTTGAATGCACCATCATGGAAAACATGAGGCCCATTCTGAAAGATATGATCAGAAACACACACAGTGTCCGAGTGGTCCAATCAGTGGTGTTTTAAGTTCCTTTCAGCAGATGTGGAATGAAAAAAAAAAAGAACAGCTATCTGTCTGGTTTGACAGATAAGTTACGTAATGTTACAGCTCGTGACATGTCGGCAACTGGAAAAGCAAACATGCTTTACAAGTTGTCATGACACAACATATACAAACATATAACAAACACTCTTGCTGTTCAGTGCCACTTAAAAACTACATAATTAGTTAATGAAGGAGATTTGCCACATACCAACATGTCTGTTAGTCACAACACCTTGGGAGTAACTAAACACATGTGGTTGGAAACGTGATTTCCACCTGAAAACAAAACACTCCTGGAAGTGACATTTCCTCTGATTTGTAGTGGAATATTTTGGTCCTTGGGTGCAAAGACGCCATAACAGAGATAACTTAGGAAAAATAGAAACAAAATCCACAAACAGAGAGGTCACACCTGATGTGAGTCAGAGCTCAGTGATTATTTCACATGGTGATGCAGTTTATTTAGTTGCAGGTATGTGTTTGTTTTTCCGTTTGCTTCGGTCCATTTACTACAAAGACTTTACAATTGGAAAAACTTAAAGCAGATACCTATTCGGTGTAACCACCTTTTCTCTTTTCAAGGTTCCTACTTCAGTGCAACCTTTACCAGTAATAGTTATATAAAAACCCGTCTGCATAGCTGTGAGTCAACTTAATCAAGCACATGAAACAAGAATCACATGTGCATTCATTGTTACATAATCATGGTGGACTGACATGGAAAAGTCTGTCCTGCATTATTTACCATGAAACAATGCAGTCAGGTCATGGTCTTTACTGTGATAGATACAAATCTGGCTTCAAACATTTAAATAAAATGGTAGTTATGTTTTTTTTTTATAAAATAGAGAAGGTTTTCAGTATCACAAATCACTGCCACTCCTCCTAATAGTGTTTGTTGGACTTGCAGGTTGGGATAAACGTAGCTACAGCTACATTGAAAGAATTGTTGCAATTCTGTCTTTGCTGACATCATAACATTAAGTCAGACCCTAAGAATGAGCCTTTGTCTGCTCATGTTGAACAGACTGCTTCTGCTCAGGCTCTGCAAATGCAAACAAGTTAAGATGAAAGCTTCAAAGGAAACACGATAGAGTTTTTTTTTTTTTTGTCATGTTTGCTTTATAATCTTCACTATCTTTTTCTCTCCGTCTCTGCATGTTTCCTTTTGAGCTGTCCATTTGGCCCAGTTTAAACACATTCCTCTCATACATGTGGCAAGGTCAAGAAAATACAGCCTGCTTACTTTCTGCTGAGCGCCTCACTCAGTGATCGACTTCTGTTTCTACAGGGGGAATGAAGACACGAAATACCTCGTCAAACACACAATGGCCTATCCAAGGAGCAAGACAGAGGCGGAGAAAATGGTGTTGGCCGCAAATGGCACCAAGGTAGTAAATGTCTTACAGTATTTATTTCACCAGTAAATGGTCATTGTTTCTGGTGTTTTCCTTGTTAAGCGCATTTTGCACATTTACAATCTTAACAGTGGCAACATTTTGGAAAGAAATAACTATTTATTAAAAGCATATTTGAAGTGCTTAGTGCACTTCAGAGACTCACTGATGTTGAAATCATTATAAAAGTATACAAAAAAACAAAACATTTATTTAACCCAGATACAGTGTGTTATTGTAATTTTAAACTCTGAACACTGAGCAACACAGTGTAAAAGCAGTAGATACCATGGACTCAGTTGGACTCCAGCCTAAAAAAAAAACAAAAACACAATGTGGGATTTGTTGTGCAACGTGGCAACAGAATACCACATCACCTCCCTTGTGGATGTTGTAGTGTCATTCCTGCTGTTTAAAATTAAAATCCACACCCTCCTTGTGACCAATTTTCCGTTTTCTTGGTTTCGTTTCTGTCCTATCTGATTCCTTACTGGATGTTTGTCCTGTTCCCATTTAGGTAAAGGGCGAAAAGTGTTTGTACACTTGCTCCTTGAGGCCAACGGGGATTTACGGCGAAGGCCATCCACTTATCAAGGACTTCTATGATATGAGTGTTCAAAGGGGAGGCCTGGTTATTGGAGGCATCCCAGACCACATTGAACACGGCCGGGTCTATGCAGGTAAAATGACTGTTTTTGTGAGTCACAGCCATCAATTTTAAACTAGTTTGTGGATGCGGTTTGCTCTATTTTTACTTCTGAAAGCGCAGGCGAGTAGACTAAACTGCATATGTTCAGACCAGGGCTGAAAGCAGAAGTAGAGTCGTCACACAGAGGTACTTCCGCAACGTTTTACAGGAAGTTAGAAGGTTTTTGTATCTGATAAATCTTCACAGTACAGCTACCCAGCATTACCACTTCACATCCTAAAAACTAACTCATGCAGACTCCTAAACAACTGGTAGTGAGTGAGTTTACAGTCTAAATACTGTCACATCAAAGACAGACACATGGAACAACATGACAAAGATTCAAAGCTGGGATGTTTCATAGATTTTTTTTAACAATACCAGGTGGATGTTATCAGTCAACATCTGCTTTTACAGCTGTATGGACACAGTAAATACCCTCCTGTTGTAATGATGACATCATTTATCAGCCTCATGGTATCACCAGTCCTGACCAGACCAAATAAATAACGACCAACATGACATTTTAACATGATTTCAAATTAAGTATGTCAACCATAAATATCAGACTGATACTACACAACATGTAGAATCAACTTTCCAATTAGGACACTGTAAATACTTTGCCAGTGTTTGAAATGTGCATGTCAGAGGTTAGCAATGATGTCAGTATAATGTGGTCACAGCTGTGAAGTAACTCAGCACATTTACTCAAGAGATCTTCTCAGGAACAGTTTTGATGTATTTGACTTACAAATTTTAGAGAGAGAGTTGTTTCTTTATTAGCAGTGGTTATACTATAGTTTTTACATTTGCATTGGTGTTGTTCAATGAAAACATTTTATTAAACAAATGTATGCTGAATGACTCAGGTAAATTCAATTAAAAAATAAAACTTGGATCCGAACGTTGTTTTTTTCAAAACTTTTTAAGTAAATTTGTCACGGCTTTGTCTTATTTTTCTCTCGACAGCTGTTGTTTTAAATGCGTTACAGTGCATATAAAAGTATTCAATCCCCTGGAAGTTTTCCCCTATTATTGCTTTTTCATATGAAAAAGAAAGACTCTTTCATGTCACAGTGAAAATGGAGTTCTACAAACTAATGTCAATTAACTAAAAACATTAAACATAAAATTGCAGTCTTGTCCAGATGTGCAAGGCTGAATGAGATACATCCACACAGGCTTAACGCTGAAATTGCAAAAGGTGCATCTATGAAATACTGACTTGAAGGGGGTCAGTACTTATGCCATGACTTGTTTTTTTTTTAATTTTTTTTTTTATATGTAATTAAGTAATTGACATTACACTGTACTTTTTATCGCTTTGCTTTTAATAACACATAGTTAGAACCTATGAAAAGGAAAAGTTCCAAAGAAGGCCCTAGAATGTGAAAGAGTGTAAAACACAATGAGTATGAATTCTTCAGACTGGAAACATTCTCTTATAGAACTCAAATACCTTTTGGTGCTTAAGTACATAGATATGTATAGCAAAGGCCTTTATTATACATATCTATGCTTAAGTATTTTTAAAGTACCTCTTTCATCATTCATTCTGGTATTTACCCAGTTGTTTGTGTTGCTAGGCAACGTGGCCTGGATGCATCTACTGGCAGCCCAAGCGCTGAGGAAGAACCCGCAGAAGATTGGAGGAGAAGCTTTCTTCTGTTACGATGACTCACCCTACGAAAGCTACGAGAATTTCAACATGATATTGCTCTCCGTCTTTAACTTGAGAAAGAAGCGTATCCCTGCAATTATGCTCTGGTTCCTGGCCATGTTTAATGACCTGCTCCGCTGGATAGTAAGCCCCGTATACAACTACACACCGTTACTAAACAGTTACACATTAGCTGTGGCCTGTACCACCTTCACAGTGAGCACTGACAAAGCCCAGCGATATTTCCAGTATCGCCCCCTGTATGGCTGGGATCAATGTCTCACCCGAACACAAAAATGGATCGAGACATTCCCTTTAAGTAAAACCAAAGACTCCTGATGTAACACACACCAGAGATTGCTATGCAGAAAAGCAGGATCCCAGGTATCTGTGCTTGTAAAATTTGCTGATTTTTTTAAAGCAAAAACAACCTCACAGTATGCACAGTGTATATGATTGAGCTTTGTAGAAAAACAAATCAGTTTCAACTGTATACACATACATACAGACTCACATACAGAACGTATGTTAATGAACAAGTAATTGTTCAATTCAGAAAAAATAAATTGTGAAAGTTTTAATAGTATTTTATGTAATTTATATTTATAAGAGATCTTAAATTGAGCTTCTGAGAACAAATGTCATTATGTTAACACCAGTATCAAAGAGAGTACAGGGTTAAACATAAGAACAAAGGGAGAAGGCAATATTAAACATGGATTCTGATGTTGTTTGTATAAGCTTCATTCCAAAGCCACTTAAAGGAGCTCACGGCAAAAGTCAGACATTTGTTATTACTGTCTTTGTTATGTCCGTGTACAGTGTTTAAAACAAATATAAATAAACATTATGAAATCATTAAGGTATAGCGCATATCTTAAATAGAATGTATTTAGATCTAAAAAACATTGTACATGACACACTGTAAATTGTACAATTTACAAGCATATACTAATAAATGTCAGTAATATATATTACTAACTTTTTTTATTTTGTATAATCTGTAAAATTGTTAATATGATGTATAAAAAGTACATAGTTATTTTGGTAATTGTCTTATTTTAATAAAATAAAATGAAATTGTTACTTACCTTGCGTTACCTTTTGTGACTCTTCACTTGGTTACAGGGAAGGATGAATGGTTATGTTTTTATTTCCATCACTGATGTTTTGTTCCAATGAAAAACACACGTCATTACATAAGTTGGCGTAGCCTGGAGACATGAGTCATGATGCGGGATCACCATTTTTGTTTCAAGTGTATATGTCACCTTACCACTTTCAATGGGTGTGTTCCAGCACTACGTTGCTACAGAAACATAAACAATAACTGTTCACTGGAAAGCCTTTAAATGTATGACTCAGAAATCAAAGGGTGTCCCTCATTTCTGAGGATTTCCATGGCAAATTTCACAACACCGAAAATGAAAACAGATGAATGACTCACAAATCCCCAAACAAAAACACTAATGGTTTTCCTAAACTACATGAAGCAATTTGAAGATATGGGGATTTTTATTGTATTGAAGTTATTAACGATACATCTGCTAATATAGCCTACAGGAAAATATAGATGAATTCAGCATATTACATCTTCATCTTCATCTTCATACCCCGCTTGGAATACTGAAGTCAACCGACCAGATGCTCCTGGATTGAGCCTTTGCAGCAGCTGCTCCTAATCCCTGGAACAGTTTCATTTCCAAGTAAAAACTGATGAGATTTTAGAAACTTTTAAGTCACTATTGAAGGCTCACCTTTTCTCTTTAGTGACCCAAGAAGAGCACACCCTGACTTAATCCTTTATTGTGCTGTATCTCTCTCTCTCTCTCTCTCTCTCTCTCTCTCTCTCTCTCTCTCTCTCTCTCTGTGTGTGTGTGTGTGTGTTTATTTAGTTTTGCATTTTAGTCATTGTGTTTTCCTGTGTCTTATTGGTTGCTATTTTAATGGTACACCACTTTGGCTCAATTCATGTGTTTTTTTTTTATGTGCTTTATGAATAAAAGTAACGTAAGACAATGTGGTCTGATTCTAAATTATGATATGTCAGAAACCATGCATCAGTATGATTTAGTTATTGTGTTTTGGTGGATCACCACAACACTGTACTGTGACCATATTAGCTGCTGCAAAGATAATGCCAAACGAAATGTTGTTGTATTTCTTGTACTATGACAATAAAGCTCATCCTTCACTGTAATTAAAGGCTATAGCGCCATCCACTGGTAAAACAGAATACACCAACAAATTGAAAAACTTTCAATTGATAGAATTTTTAAAAAATGTTTTCAACCCTCCCAATCACTGTTTTGATTTGGGAAATATCTTGTGGTAAAATTATTATCATTTAACCTAACATTAACATTCAACCTATTTGTTTGGAACTTCTTTTTTTTCACTTTTAGGCACATAGAGTTCCTCGCAAAATCATATTTTAATCATAGGAGACACGGTAATAAATGTGCGAGTGGTTTAAAATTTCGTCAAAACCAGTAGTAAAGAGAAAAAAACCCAAAAGGTGTCAGTAAGTATTTAAGAGTGGTATAAATAGCATATTCCTGCTGTGAAAGGGAGGCTCCTGTACGTGTGCGTGCCCGACGACTTTGACGTGAACACGCACGTAGCTGTCAGTAGGAAATGCAGGCTGTCCGTGTAGGATGCACCCTGCCGCTATGCTTGGATAAATTAATCACAGAAAGTCCTTGTTTTTCAGAATGAAAACTATCATTTAGAAGGTTGCTTGAACTCAGAGAGAATGGTTGAAGCTGGTCCGCATGTCTAACCGAGGTAACCGGGACATTCAACCTGCTAGCGAGGCTAACAGAAACAGAATACTGTCAACGCTAATGCTAATAGTTACATTAGGCTAAAATAAGCTAACTTAGCTAGCTGCTAACTTAGCCAGCTAGCTCGCCGAGTGCAGGACGTTTGCTCTTCCAACAGCTCTTTTCGTTCAGCGGTTCCTGCTCCGGCGTCGCTTTTTCGTGTTTTTAATTCAGCGGAGGAGATTGCGGAACCGGAGCTGTGGCGGGGGGACGCGCCGACAGGAACCCCCTGGCTATCCAGGCGGACGGATTGCAGTGACACGCCGGTCGTGGGTGAGTTGAGCAGCGGAGTTGAAGTTGTAGTTGACCGGGGCATCGGGGTGGACAAGGCCGTGGACGCTGCTCGGCCAGGGCCTGGCAGGCACAGGGAGGGTGTTGACTATTGGCTATTAGTAAACCGTTGCCCCTGTGCGCTGAATCGGGAAGTTGAGTCGCTTCGAGCGAGGCCTCTGGAGAGGATATGACAACAAAGTGACTGGTGTTATTAGCTGTTAGCATGTAACCGATAGCCGCCTGGAACTACCACTACAGACTTAAACCTGCTTCATCAGCAAAATACTGGATCCCCGTGGTTGTCCGGGCGCTTTGATGCATGATTTGGCACTCGGGCTTGTCTACAGATTAAGTAAAAATGTGCTAAAGCGTAACATTGTAGTCATTGCAACCTTTTGGATTTTCGGTGTGATAGAACTTGGGCGTGATTTCGCTTAAAAAGTCCTTGAACTACACATTAGTACTGTAGTCATTTCATTGTAACAAGTGAGAAAACAAAGGTTGTGATAGCTAATGCTGTCAGTAGTTTTATGTTATCTGCAGAATCAATATATCAAAATATCACACTTGACGTTACAATACAAACAAGTCTATAAGATCTGCACAGGGAGGTATGTCTGCACACTGTCTCGCAGAAGTTTCCAGGATTTCATAGTTCACTTATTTAGCTGCTTCTTCAATCCAATTCACTGATACTATTTTAAGAAGAGGAACTCTGTGCTTATGTTCCCTAGAAAATGGCAAGAGGTCTTGTATTTTATGAAAAGTGTTGACCTTTCATGTTGCTGGGAGTTTTCTTGTTGCTGATTGTTTATGATCTGAAGGTATTGTTTCAAAAAGTGCGGGTTTTTTTTTTTATCACTACAGTTATGACTGAATGGATAGCTACTCTTTGGCAAAAGAAAACTGACCTTCACTTTATTTCTGTTTGTAAAGGAGAGATCAGAGTGGAACGATGGCTGAACTCTCCACCTTATCGCCGTCACCGCCGGCATTAGGTGATCCTCATGCTGCTCCATCCATCCCACCGTCTTCATCAGCACTCGCTGCTCCTAATAGCCCTGCGCCAGGGTCTGCCAGGGAGCTACCCGTACCCAAGTCTTCCCTTTACAATGATAAAGCTTTGACTGGAAACACTCCTGCAGCACTGTCAGGAGGGTCACCCTTGACTTCCCACCTACCCTTGAGTCCTCCCAAACTCACATCTGAAACCCAACTTCCATCGATGGTACATGGAGATGCTCCACAAACAGAGGAAACAGCAGGGAATGATACAGACACTGCAGCTCATGTTATTAAGCAGGAGACAATGACCAGTGACCTAGCTGCTGTGGAGCTCGTAAATAATGAAACAGAGACCCCAGCACTGGCAAGTGAGCCATCAGCTCCAAGTGAAATGCCACAGGCATCTCCCTCTCCTGATCTAAATCCTGGTCCTAATCTGTACCCCAGTGTGCATGTCACCTATAACCCAAATCCTGTCGTGGATGATGGTCAGCTTACAGCGAGCCAACCCCAAACAACTACAGGTTCTAGTCCTGCACCTGCTCTTTCAGCATCAACAGCAGCTGAAGAGGAGAAACCTCCTCTGCTTCAACAAGCACAAAACCCTCAAAGCGAGCCTTCTCCTCCTCCTCCTCCTCCTCTGTCCCCAAAGCCCGACACTCCTAGCCAAACCAGGAAGGGTGAACTGCCTGCTACCCCCACTAGAGCCGAACACCCCAGCCCTACTGTCCCACTCATCCACGAACCAGCCTCTGCCCTCCCCCTTCCCAACCCCAACCCCAGGCCAGCTCCTGACACCCTTAGCTATCTTGAATCAGCCAGCCTGATGTCAGGGACGTTGGAGTCTCTGTCTGGACTTGGAGAGGATGGGAGCTCTGTGGGCTCAGACTCAGAAATCAATGGCTTGACCGTCAGACGCACGGATAAATATGGCTTCCTAGGTGGGAATCAGTACAGTGAAAGCGGGTAAGGAGAAGGACAGTAATCACACATTCACACTCCCAGTCATATTTGTAAAATGTTGGTCATGTTCACTGTGTAATTTTTATTATGTCAAATAGCTACATTCAAATGAACTGAAACACTTTCTCAGTGTGGCTGTGCGAAGGAGAGAAAAAAGACACATCTTTTTTTTTTTTTTTACGCTGTGTTTCCATGCAGACAGTTCACTATTTGCAATATGAGACACCATTAGATTATGGCCTCAGAATTGTATTACAAAGATAAATGTAAATCCTGCTTTACTATCTTTTAATTGGCCACTTTGTTCCATCCAACCCAAAGTGATCTTCCTCTCTTCTTGGGCTCAACCTCTCTTTCCTGCCTTCCTCTTCTTCTCTGCTGCTCTAAACATATCTCTCTGTCCTTTATCTCCCCTTCGTCTGACTCAGATAATGCTGAGAGCGCTTTTGTGACTCAATATGTACTGACTCTGTGTCTCTGTGGTATCGCCCCTCACACCCATCTGCTCTCTTCCCCTCTTTTTTTTTTCTTTGTCAGATTTGCTTCTACTTTTCCGACAAGCTAATTGCCCTTTCGACTGCTGAATAATTAAAATTGTATTGATTTACCATCAGTGGTGGCGGTGCGTTCTGGTCCTTGTTAGCAATGTTCTTTAACTGAGCGATTCAGCGTAATGTGGTGCAAATGAATGTAAGAGTGAGAGTGAGGTAGTTCATTTTGTGTCATTTGAGTTACAAATTTATGCAATATTCAGGACTATGAAAAGGAAAAAAAGAACTTCCCAGTTCTGTCAGTGATGGAGTCATTTTATATTACTCAATCTTGCAGTGAAAAGGAAGTCCGTGTTGAAGTTGCCAGGCAGAGGGAGATGAAATGGCTTGATATGTTCGGCAACTGGGATAAATGGGTCAAACATCGCTTCCAGAAGGTATGAACACTGGCCTGTCAGCAGAGTTTATAGATATGAGAACTGTATGTGAGTTGCGGCATTTAGCTATGCTCTTGGATTTGTTATACTGGATATGTTAAACATTATGCCATAGCCAATATTGCAATATTGTATGTATCTGTTTTTGCATTACAGGTGAAGATGCGATGTCGGAAGGGGATTCCATCTTCTCTCAGAGCCAAAGCATGGCAGCTGCTATCTAACAGTCAAGACCTTCTAATGGCCAACGCTGGGAAATTTGAGGTATCACTGTTACCATGTCGTTTACAAAACTGATGTCACCTACCCTCAAACAGCAAACATGCCTCTCTCTTTTTTAGATTTTCATTGTCTTGAATTTGTCTTAAGTCTTGAATTGCTTCAAACCAACTGTCTTAGTTCTTGAACTTCTCTCTCTCTTTCTATTTATAAAGCTTTGTGGTTGGTTTGAGAACATTCACGGACAGTGTAGAAGCTACAGTATTTAGATTGAGTAATTGGTTCAAAGTGGGGACCATTTTAAAGGGAACTTGTGGCTAAGCAGGGCAATTTCAGCTCCAGAGGTGCTAAAGGGGCGCAAGCGCAGACCTCGTAAGTTGTAAGCCTCTTATCAGGACCAGTAATCCTCCCTGTCAGGGCCCTGCCTCACACTGGAGGGTCTGGCCTTGGCTGGGTTTGGGGCCCAGCAGTGTACTTACTATTGTTCTTGTTATCTGAGAAAGAATTTATCTTTCACCTTTTAGTTTTTTTAATTTATTGTTTAGTGTCCCCGTTGTTGTTCCATACAGGGTTTGGCGGTCTAATCCACATACATGTCTAATTTAAATAAATTAATAGTTGATTCCACAAATTAATGAGAATTTATCTACAGCTTGTGTTTAATTTGTTCATTGCAGGAGCTGGAGAGAGAGCAGGGTGAGGCTAAATGGTTGGACATTATAGAGAAGGATCTACACAGGCAGTTCCCCTTTCATGAGATGTTTGCTGCTCGTGGTGGCCATGGGTAAAATACCGCACGCACACACACACACACACACACACACACACACACACACACACACACACACACAC